TTTAATTATGTTATGTTTATTATATGTAATTTTTTTTAAATAAATATATATATATATATATATATATATATATTTATATATATATATATAATCGTTATTAATGATGTTCTGTTTACTATAATAGATAATTTGTTTTTAATAAATATGGCTTACATATTGCATTAGCGAAATTGTATGCTCAATATTTATAAGTTTTTTTCATGTATGATTGTTATTTTTTTTATCTGTTCACTAAAAATTGTTTTTATATCGTATGTTAGTACTTAAATATACAATCAAGGAAATAAATTTCATGTTCGTCATTGTACTAATAAAAAGTGCATCTTATGTTATCTAACCTTATTGTAAGGTATTTACAGTATTGTTACTATTAACCACTGGAAAGTGGGTGTCTGTATGTTTTGATAGGGTGGGGTGGGAGAGTTACAGTAAATGCTCCCTAATACATGAGTCATTAAAAGTGTTCGTGCATCATGGGTACACCGATTTTTATTCACAATGGATTTGAATTTTATTTATAAATTTGTATTTGTATGTTGATACAAGTTTGTTAAATCTTTTTGTAGGCTCCAGTGATGGTAAAATATTGGCGTAAATTAAATAAAGGAGGAATTCTCGAAGAACCGTTAGCACGGCATTTGTGGAGAAATGAACTCGAAAGCAGTGAAGATGATGACGACGTCGTTTTTAAAGACTTCATTGAACTTATGAAGGAATTTGGACTTCTCTTTGAAAAGGTGTGGCCTATAATGGTACCTCTATTTATACTTTCGATCCCAACTAAATAATTAATTGCTATATGTAATGTAGGCTGTATATTTGAGGCTCTTAATTTTTAGCCCACTTGGAAGTCCTGTTATTTTAATTTTGAGTTTGTTATATGTTTGGTAAAGTGGATAAAGAAAGTGAGGTTGCAGAAGACGCAAGAAAACCAGTTCACCCTTCCTCACATTCAAACTAAAATTGTGATGGGTTTTTTCCCCTTTTCATCGTATAAAGTTCAAGAAAGCAGAATCAGAAGATGGCGCTCGACTATTTGTTGTTCCATCTCGAATGAAGACCAAAAATGATGATAGATTGGAAGTAAAGGAAGATGATAAGCAGACAGTATCCATCTATGTGACACCTAAAGACTTTCTCCCCGACGCCGTCTACGATATCTTGGTCGTCAGATTTGTGAGTTTGAGTCAAGAGAATGGTTATTGTGATGACCCAGAATTGTTTCAAAATCAGGCTAAAATTATATTCGATGATAAGCATTACCTAAGACTAGGTCGAATATCGATTGATAATAAACGTTCTTTAAAGGTAAATATGCCTTTTGTTTTTTAAATGTATGTGTATACATTATTTTTTCATTATTATTCTGTTTTTTTCCTTTCTTAACTGCTAAGCAGCAGCTCCACTCCATAATTAAAACTGAAAGAAAATAAACTGTTGTATATAACTCAGTTATGTGAATATTGTTTGTAACCTGCATTGTGTTTCTTTTTAAAGCTTGAAATATCACGGATGAAAACCGTAGACGCAGACGGGACAATCAAGCCAGCACACAAGCCACATCCTGACATCTGTAAGGAGGTAATGAGGTCATTTTCTGGCCATTGGTGATCTGAGATTATACTTAATTTAGATTTGATACCAAATGTCTATTCTGATTGAATTTGATGTAACGAACATTTGTATTACATTTTACAGGTTTTGCAGGTTTTAAAGCAACACCTAGGTGAGGTATATCCGTCTAAGAGAGTTGTCGGCTATGCTCTGAAAATCCTTTGCTTAGTCTGTTCAAACACTGAGGAACCACACTTTCAAGAACTTGAGTACTGCTTAAAGAACGAGAATGTGAATTGTGATAAAACAGGTGAACTTATAACGATGCCGGCAGCTAATGTAAAGAAGCTATTTGCAGCTGGTATGTGTTTGGGCTATTGAAATAATTATTCATAAAATGATTAAATAATTTTGAATTTAGTAAATACCAATTTAGGTAGAGAAACGATTGTAAACACAATTAGAGAATTCAAGACTAAATAATTTCCAAATTATTTTATCATTTCACAGACTAGTCTGTTGTTTAAAAAAAAGAGAAAATTCACTCAGTTAATTTTATAATTAAATTACATTTTATTTTATTTGTTGGGGCTATTTTTTGTATTTTATTGTCCTTCACAAAATTGACTACAGCAACTGTACTTAAGTACACTGTGTGCAACACTATTTTTATCAAGGATTTTAAAAGTGAAACAAACAGTGAATTAATAGGAGCTTGTATGTGTAATAATTGTAACATCACTTTTACATAACAATAATGTGAAACAAATAATTATTTATATAATTATAGGTATTCTACATCAATCCTCGGTTATGGACACGGTTTATCAATCCTCGGCTACTGCTACGCCTCATCAATCCTCGGCTACGCATACGTCTCATAGGCCTGCATGCTCAGGTTGGTAGATACACTTATACTGTAAAACATATAAAGCAGGTGGAGCTCGATGTTTTCTGCTTTATATGCAAACACATTAACCAACTGAACCAACTACTATAGAGGGCTTTGTAGAAATTTTAATCCGATTGGCGGGACCTATTTTCTGTATGTGCTTAACAGCACTAGTTCACGCACTATGTAACCAAAAACAATAAATCGGTTTCATCTTAAGAACCAGATTTCGAAAGAGATACTTTTATACAACAGATTACATGTAGGCTTAAAGACAATTCGGTAATACTGTATGGGGGAACCCCTAAAACATCAAGTGGAATACAGCAAATGCAACGAATAAGAGGATTGTTCTACTTAATGTTTCTTGGTTAAAATTATTTTTCATCAACTTTTTACATAATAATAATAACAATAACAGCAACAACAACAACAACAAATAATAATAATACATTAAGCTTTTTCCAAATGTTTCATTCAGATCAGTTGATCCGTTTTCCTTTCAATGGTCCTCAGATATACACCCTATTGCCGATCATTTTGTTTCATCAGACCTTTACAAAGAATTATGGAATTTTTCATTGAAAACCATTGGTTTTTTTTAAAGAGATATTTAGGTCTGGGTTCTCAAAAATTGAAAAATTTTCACCCTTCACTGGATCGTCACTAACACATAAAATTTCCTTCCTTGTAACTTGATTAAACTTTTCCGAAAGTTTCATTGAGATCAACTGACCTGTTTTTGAGATATCCAGTGTAGACTGTTGACTTTAAATCACTTTAATTGATCCTCACACGCACACACCACTATAGATTGACACTACATATTAGGAGGCACATCCTAGATATTATGGCCCATGTTTTGGCAAAGTACGGAAAAATTCTAAGCATGGGAAGTGATCACAGTGACGTCAGAAAAAAAAACAGTTAATGGTTATTAATTTATAGTGCAAAGAGAAAGGAAAAAATATGTGAAAGAAAAAAGAAAAGAAACGAAAAAAAAAAACAATGGCTTTTCCCAGTACAGCTGGGAAAAACCAATAATAATAATAATAATAATAATAATAATAATAATAATAATAATAATAATAATAATAATAATAATAATAACAATAATAATAATAATAATAATAATAATAGTAATAATAGTTTTTTATAGCGCTCTATACAATTAAATATCAGAGCACGTTCCCATGTTATGACACCCTCCTCCCGCCATACATGCATTTAGCAGTAAAATTAAAATAATAAATTGGAGTCTATGTTCAAATGACATTAACTTCATTTTAGTAGGTAATAATAATAAAGTTACAATAATTTCAATTATATTATTTTATAATAATGATTATAAAATTTTAGAAATACCTGAACTGATTGTAGTGGACCCAGATTCAATAACGTTCTATAGACTATTACTACATCCTGAGTTATTCTGTTACATTACTAGTGCCTAATGTGGCATACGCATTAGGACTCAATAAACTATATGAACGAGAATCGTAAACTACAACAATTTGATTAGAATTATATTATTATAATTATTGTATTATAACTTACTTTAAGTTTTGTAAGGATTGCTTGTGAAGATAATAATATTCCGGCAATTATTAAACTATTGAATTAAAATGTATGAAAATATTTTCATGAAAAATCTACATATAACAATGATATACAGGTATATATATATAAATGTATAAATATTTTACATCATTCTCAGATAAGGAATTCATAAAGCTTAAAACAGTTGTCTCAAAGTGGTATGACCGCCACAAATGTCTCCCAATGCTCAAAGTGTTGTTCAGAGATGTGGTGGACAATCACCAGCTATCACCTAAAAGTCGCACGATGGATTTGCTGAATATATTATTTGCACGTGGTCATCTGAGTTCACAGAATCTTGGACTCTTGTGTGATACTATTAGCATTACCAAACAGTTGGGTCTTTTATCGGAGATTAAACAAAAACTGCCATCATTCCCAGATGTGGAGGAAGGAACCATTTCAACAAAATTTACACCTCACAGGCAAAAGTTAGTGAAATTTGGAATGGTACTGACCCCAGCCGATGTGAAGCAGATCGATGGAATATACAATACGCCTTGTAAGGAGTATACAGATGGCTGGAGTATGATCAGTGATCTAGAAAACAGACTAATAATCAGTGAAGGAAATATGAAGGAATTCACTGATAATATGAAATTTCTCAATATTCTTTTGGCATTAAACGCATTAACAGAAGGTATTTCTTCATCCTGTTCTTTAATTTATTTAATAAAGTTGTGCGGGTAAAGACAGTGGCGGATTCAGGGGGAGAGAGACAGCCGACTCCAACCCCCTCCCTTCTCCAAATTGATCAACGTTTTAAAAAATGGAAAGAAAATTATACTCAAATTTTAAGTCTGAAAGTGCAATTTCCGGCCATCTAGAGCTGCCATAAAGATCCTCCATCTGGGACAGTCCCTCCCAGGCGATCTCTATTTTGAATTCCTGGATCCGCCACTGATAGAGTCAAATACACTAAGCTTAACCCTCCAGTAAATTTAACAAGTATAAACCATGGGTTCACCGATAATTTTGACTTAAAATGTATGAAATAAAATAATCCCCATTATTTAAAAATACAATTGGATTTTTTTTTTTTCACAGTGTAACTGTAAGTGTAAGTAAATCGTACGCAGTAGATGATGTTTCTTCTGAAGCCAAGCCAAACTAAAATTGTCAGATGTTGGTACATTCTTGATTGATTGATGAAAGGATCAAAGACGTCCAAAACTTGTAATTTTATTTTTCGACGGTATGAAAAGAAAAAAAATCTTTAAACAGAAAGCTTATGAATACGTCATTTGTCATTACTATAATGATGAAGTTGATTCGACACTACTGAAGATTTAATCAAAAGAATTCTGGGTAACACCAGATGTGTCAGTCGTCATCAAGCCTGCAAATCTAATCCGTATCCATCAGTATCGAAACAATCATTTGTAGCAATCACAATGCAGGAATTTTGTTTCAAGACTGGCGCAATCTGACAGAATACAAAATGAAGTCAGGCGCAGATTTCAGAGAAATAAAAACATGTAAGAAATTACATAATAGCCAGTTTAACATAGTCGATTAAAATACAGTACTTATCTAATTACATCGGTACATTGTCCACACAGTACACCCACCACCCCCACGCCTTCACACACACTCATGCAAAATATTACAAGGATCACAATGGTTAGTAGTGTAACATAAACGATTGCAATACGCATTTAATAATGACGTCATCACATTATAGGCTTATTTGTATAGAAATCCAATTGGAATTAATATTTATCCTGATGGATAAAATGTTTGCTTAAAAATCCCCAGGGTCCTTGGTTCAAATCCTGTAACATCAGAATTTTGTTTTCCCACCAATTAAATGACGTCACTTCCTAACGCTGCTAAATTTAAGGATCAATAGATAAGTGGGTGTGTGTACCAGTCATTTTGATTAAATTTATATAATTTTAATTATTGATTGTTTAATTTTAATGATGTATTTTTTATACTGTATTGTAAAATAGGGCCTATCATATTTAATTATAATACATAATAAGCAGTAATAATTCACTTTTGTACGTATAATTATGAGGTATTTTTGAGTAAGTCTAATTTATATTTTTGTATCAATATTACAATTAATGACTAATGTGTAATATTGATAATCTAAATCTTGTACAGTATTTTAAATACTGTAAATATAAATTTGAATAATGATAATAATGTAATAATTATAACTATTAGGAATTCTAAATTTATGAGAGCTCGATTATTTTACCACTATACTATTTTAAATTTTGAATTTTCTATTGATTGACGACTAACACAACGTTATATCCCCGACGTTGATTTTCCAAGGATTTCTTATATCATCAGGGTGTACAAAAAAAAAGCCAAAGACGAATTAGTACGGTAGGAATTTACTAACCAGATAGAACAGTCTACCCATGCTCAGTGGCGTAACGCAAGTGGTGCTCTGCTGCCACCCCCACCCCCACCCACTTAAAATTGTCACAAATTTTTAAAAATAGAGATAAAATATTCAAATTTTTAAGTCTGAATGAGTGCCAATTCCGTGCTATAATAATAATAATTTGCTTTTCGACTCCAGTACAGAATATAATACAGGTCCTTTATTAGACATTTTGCGACGCCCGTGAGGGGAGGTTGTTTGAGATAGAGAAGTACGGTATCTCCCGTCAGGCCAATAACTCAATAGTTTTTGAGGAGGAAATTGCTTTGACAGAAGCATTTTTACAATATGAGAGTGCCATTTCCGAGCGTCTAGAGAAATTTATTTTTATAATTTGCTCACTTGAGGGTGTCGCCTAACTTCACCTCCCCCTCCCTCCGGTTCCGCCCTTGGGAAGAGGGTGGAACCGGCCTACACCATCATATTAGTTCATAACCCTTAAATATTATTTAAACTTTCTAAACAAAAATAAAAACTAAAGACGAAAGACTAACCATTAATTTATGTAATTCTCACTGGAAGTTAAAAATCATTAAATAAGAAATTCAATATTTTAGTTGGAGTCTCTGAAACAGACGAAATGACTTTATTTCTGTAGAGGGCAGTATTACTATTCGCACGTATGTCTGTATAATTTTCAGAGTTTACGCATGTGTTGATGATCGGTCGGAGCAATCGGAGGAGGAGCAGAACCCCATCCTCTGCCTAAGATTGTAAGGAGGAATATTTAGCATAGCTAGGCTTCGCCCGGGTCCCTAACTACGTACTGTAAACGTAACACGTACAATAAACAAGGAGTCATTTTGTTTATTTGATAATCTTTTTCTTGGCCTTTCAGTAGGAGCCTAGGCCCTAGTAGTAGTAATATGGTAGGTAGGCTCTAGGCTATTTTGCTAGGCTTGGCAAAAACCAAGAAACTAATGAAATATGCGTAGGCCTAATAAACTAGGTAGTAGTATTAGTCTAGTAGTGGTCTACACTAATTTTAAGGGCCTACTTCTTTTTTACTTTTTTTTTCTTTTCTTTTTCTTTTTCATTTCCTTCACATCCAACAGCAAGTACACTCGCCACTTGCAGGATGAGAATGATGCTTTATAAACTAAGTCACTTTATGAGGCTTATTAGGGAGTGGAGTTGTTTTTGGTCGGGAGAAAAATTCCTGCCGTGACAGGAATTGAACCCAGGACATTGGGATCAGAAGGCAAGCATCTTAACCACTGAGCTATTCAACTCCCAAAACTACAGTACTTTTGCAAGGCTCGGTCTCTCTAGGGCCTAGCCACAACCGATGCGCCAACCGCTTCTACAAAAATAACATAACATTACCGTTATTTTGACTGCCAATGTCATATTATTGTGGTCTATTCTAAGCCATAAAAACTCACTTCGTGCATTGTACAAGGTCCAAGGGAGGTTTATTCTGGGCCGATGCTTCATTGACGCTTGCTTGTCTCAGACTTTCGTTAGACCGGTTGTCGACAAATCTCTGGCGTCACCGCTGAGTCTAGGCCTATCCTAATGTAGTAACATGAAAATGTTTAAAGTTATATTTATAGCTAAGCATTTGGTCAAGAGCATTGTCCCTGCTTCTTGCACTGTAGACCCTTAGTCAGGTTTTAAATGAAGTCAGATTGCTCTTCTCCTTGAACAATCCTCGCGTGAGAATTAGATATGTTGGTACTGGCAATGCACTGTGGCTACCGTGGGTTCTTAGGGACCCAGCCAAAATTTTTCGAATTTCAAATATTTTAATTTGATAAAAATGGAAAATTTAATCATTTAAAAAAATTTCATATTCTTAAATAGGTACATTGGAGTGATAAGAATGGTGGTGTTTTGGTAATGTATTTGGTAATAATTAATAAAATGTTTATAAATCCTTTTTTAAACAGGTAATTAACAATAATGTTAATGTCATGATGATTGCATTCAAAGTAAAGGCTCTAATTTGCCAGGTGAAGATCAGTCATTTAAGAAGACATCTACTGTTTGCAACAACGAATCACAGATGCAGACACACAAAGAGTAATTCAAATAAACTACTCAGTTACAGGCCACCTGATTGGGCAAGCCACCTTCAAATGATTCCATTATTGAAAGTTAAGGTAGGAAAAAATCCAATTGTATATAAATATATTTGATATTCAAAATACTTTAATATATGAGAATTTTATTATTTAATGTATTAATCAGTCAATTTTTAAAAGCTGATCAAAAGCTAGAAATTACTGTATAGAGCAAGAGATTGAAATCACTTGGACAAAATACTGATTAATAGCAAAAGGAAACAAATATTAGATTTATAAGATGGTGACTGACAGGTGAGTTTAAACTATACTAAGAGAGAAGAGCCAGTCAGTCATAAAGAAAGATATTTTATAAATATTTAAATAAAATTTGATATTTGTAAGAGCAATCATGTGAAAATCAAAGGCTTATTCCAAAAATCCAATAATGTCAAACTAAAAGTCTTAATTGTAGTTAGAACTGCACATTCTCGGATCTAAGGTCAGTCGTGTTCATTTGATATTGAAAGCTCTGTTGTGTGTATGGTGTTTTATGTCGATTGAACTATGAGCATTCGCAATTGTAACTATGAATTAGCTTATTGACAACTGTATGTACAAGAAAATATTTGCACTTTTTTGAGATTTTTCTAGTTCACATAACATTTATTGATTCAATGGTAGATTGGTTATTACAGTAAGATGCTTGCAGTAATGATTATTTTTTTGTATCTTGTATAGTAGAACTCCTGCTTTAGGGCACTCTTAATATTAAAGGGAAACTTTTTTGCAAAATGTCTTTTAGCTCTACAGCAAACCTCTATTACGAGGAAATGCTTATTAAAAAGATGGGAATACAGTAGGTTTGACAGATGACCAGTTCAAACTCATTCAGTTCCTGTGGAACAAATTCAATTGTTAAGATCAAAATAATATTTTCAAAATATTTCTCAAAATTTAAAATTGGATATCAGTTTAGGTACGTAAATCTACAGACTTTTCAAATGCATACAATATAGATAGCACTTAGTCGCCAGTTACTCCATAAATTTTCTCAATTAATAAGGGTAAATAAATATTTTTTAGCTTTTTCAGCCATTTACACCTATTCATAAATGGAGTCTTCCAGATATACCAGATGATATTGATATTTATATCAAGCGAGATGACATGACTGGATCTGTTTTATCAGGTAACAAGGTTAGATGTCTAATACTGTATTGCTTTAATTACACTGATAATATCAACATTTATTTAAACTAATAAGATCATTTAATAATACATCAAGTCACAGATAAAAAATAAAAGTATAATTTCCAGTTATTTAAATTCATTTTAATACAAAAATTCAGGAATTATCTTCTTAAAATTTGTCACATAGAACCTGACAGTGTGAACAGAGCTTAAAGCTGTGTCCACACTGTCAAATGTTTTGTGACAAATTTGTGTGATGTGCATGATTATGTCATATTACACCCAAATATGGACATATCACATTTATTTGTCACACCTGATAGTCAGTGTGAGAGGGGGAAGCAGGAGCCTAAGCCCCCCAACGGACTGGTCAAGCCCCTCCCCACATCGGACAGAACACATCGGGCAGTTGAACTAAAAAGAAATAAAAAAATAGCCCACACCAAGCCAACAGATGTCCGTCACAGTCTGAAAGTGTCATTTCTGGCCATCCATAGGTTCCTATTCTTAAAAAAATCTCATTTGGGAAGCTCAGAAAATATATCCTAGAGTCGCCACTGCTGATGTGTGATCAGAGATTAAGATTAAGATTGTAGTGGAGGTGTGCTTGGTGGTGACAATGCTTTGCCTTCAGATTCCTGGGTTCTGGGTCTCATGACTCTCTATGTCTTGCATCACATTATTTCATATATTTAAGTTTCCCCCTGAATATCAACTGACCATATTTAGGCATGTCACATGTTTTTGTCAACTAATATTTGATAGTCTGGACAAGTCCTTATTATTTGTCCTCTGCTTCGTCTCTGTCAGTCATTTTGATTTTTAAATTCAAATTTATCTGCGCCCTCTGTCATAAGTTTATGTTTTTATTAGGTACGAAAACTGGAGTTCTTACTAGGTGAAGCCTTAGCAACTGGTTGCCAAGCAGTGATAACATGTGGTGGAGTTCAGTCAAACCATTGTCGCACAACAGCAGTTGCAGCTAAACAACTTGGTATTGAAACTCATCTTCTACTCAGGGCCAGGTCAGAGGTAAATACTTATCAGTGGCAGATTGAAAATGGAACCCTGGGGGGCTGACCTGTGCCCCTTCATATTTTTAAAGTTCTTTTTAAAGAATGGAGAAAACATAAAAAGAAAATTGTATTCAAATTTAAGTGTAAGAGAGCCATTTCCAGCAATCTAGAGGTGCCACAAGTATAGTTTTTCTCAGCCCTACCATGGTTGTTGGACCCTTGGTCTGTGAATGTCTTTCCCTGGACCCCTTTATTCTCAATTTCTTGATTTTCCACTGCTTAATACTTATTATATGACATTCAGTGTAAACATCATCTGCTCTATCCACTGATCTAATTTGAGTCTAGTGTTTTTACTAGCCTTGATTTTTCCCACTTCTTTAAGGTTGTGCTTATACTCACTGCCTATGCCCAGCCAACTGCTCTCCAGGGCTCCAAGTAAATAAATGAAAATAATAATATAAAAAAAATCATTACTTAACACATTCATCTCATATTTTCAATCATTCAGCAATTAATTTTGCATCATTTATTAGAACCTTTCTGAGACTGGTTGTCATGGGAACATGTTACTGAACAGTTTGATGGGTGCATCCATGTACTTGGTTCCCATAAAAGCTCAAGAGAAGACCGACCTTGAGCCAAGAATGCAGCGGCTTGCCGACAGACTGCAGTAAGTTGGAAGTTTTGACCACTTTTTTTTATTTTCCTCAAATGGAAAGCAACTTGTCAATCAATCAAACCATCCTCTGGCATCCATCACCTTCATCCTGTGTCATCTTGTTGATCTCTTGCCACTAACATTCCAATGGAAAGCAACTTGTCAATCATGTTCTGACATCCTTTGGGTGCATATTTCATCAAAAAATTCCTCTACACACGTTCCTCTAACAGAAGATTATGGTACAGATTTTGTTTAGAACAAGCGCGTTGATCCGTTGTGGAAAGAGGAGGGTGAGGGGAACAGTCTTGTACTATTGCGACTACAATATTGTGAACGGAAATACTACCATCTAATTTACAATCAAACAGGATTAGGGAGATTGGAAGCGCACAAAACATTAGTTAGCATTTTTATTTCACAACCATAAAGGTGATTTGTATTTAATTTATCATCATCATGACATGGTGAGATTGCGTCAACAAAACATCGGAGTTCTTGAACTTGTGATATTGCTACTTAAATAAATTGAAATAGATAAACATGTACTTTGCGAAGGCTGTACAATTATTGTTTAATAACGGCTATATAAAATTCAATTGGCTAACTATAATGTTTTGAAATTAGGATAAGCAATGTATGCAGATAATATTA